ACTACAGGCACCTGCCACAACACCCAGCTATTTTTTTGTTGCAGTTTGGTGGGACTGGATTCGAACCTGCCACCCTCGGTATATGGGGTTGGCGCTGAGATACAGGCGTGTTTTAATTTTTAAAAGCCTTTAAATCACTTCATTTTTTACTCAAGGCCTTCAAAATCTAGGCCTTTCACTAGGAGAAAGAAATCAGGAAAATCTAGAGCTGGGAGATGTGTTAGGAGAAAGGTAAGAAAACAAGAGGGCTGCACTCATGGTTTCTTCAGCCATGTCTGAGAAGATGGAGAGAAAATCCTGAAACCAAGAAACTGAAGCATCCCCATATTTGCAGCTACTCACGGTTTATGATAGTTTACATTTATAATCCTTTGTAACATCTAATGCGACTTCTGTCAAATAAGGCAGTAATCACAAAAATCAATTAAATCTCCCTAAATTATTTTTGTAGAAAGTTATTATATGAATATATTTTGATAAATGAATTATTAACTCAATTATATTACTTCTTTAGTTTTTTTACATAAGCCAGTAAAGCATGTTGAGGTGCTTAGCCTCAATATGTCACCATAGCTCAACCTCTGGAATAGTTCCTTACTCTTTCATCTTTCACAGTGGGGTAGGGTGGCGTGGGGCTTCTTAGCCTCTGGTCATTACACAAAAATGGGATACAAACCTACAAGTATGATATAATACTTTTAAGACAAAAATCTATGTTTGCCACAGGGAAATTTAAAACTAAAATAAAAAGTACAGAAAAGCAGACTTCTCTGAATCAATTTTTCAAAGTTCATCAATATGACCTTCAGTCTTTTACTTTCTTTCTTTCTTTCTTTCTTTTTTTCTTTTTTTTTTTTTTTTTTGCAGTTTTGTCCTGGGGCTGGGCTTGAACCCAGCACCCCCGGTATATGGGATCGGTGCCCTACCCCTTGAGCCACAGGAGCCACTCTGACTTTTAGTCTTTTCTAAGACTATTCTCAAAGTGATTCTAGGATTCATTTGATGAAAATAATGCAAGGATTGCTAAAAGAACAACAGAATATGACTTTATCCTATCACATTGTTTCTCAAATGATGGTATACAAGTTCTGGGTAGTACATCAGTACATGTTTATAATTTCAAAAGTTATATATCTATTTTGATGGAAAACAGAACAAATATAATTATCACATAAAACTAAATTGTGAGACTCCCTCCCTCCTTACCTGTTCCCAGGTAATGCCTGATTTAAAAAAAAAAACTAAATTGTGAGTTTTAAATGCTGAATAATATTACCTAGAAGGCTAAAACTCCTGAGTCCCTTTATAAAAAATATCGAGTAATAACAGATATGGTAAAAACTAAAGGAAGTAGACAAATAACATAAATGTGAGAAATATTGCTCTTTCATGTTTATTTCAAGTTTATGTGATTGGCTGCACTATAGCATTGTCTTGAATAATCAGTGTTTATGATTTAAAAACCTGATAATATAAAACTTATAGGTGAATTACAGGTAAATAATTACAAGTTATTGCCTTCAGAATTTCTGCTTATTTCTTTAAAAAAGTTTCTAAAATCAGATTTAGAACATTACTTCCAATATAATTTTGTTTATAAAATAAGTTATTTTCACTATTTATAACCCCTCCTGGGAATATGCTGCTAGTTTAAGGTCTTAATTTTTTGGTTTCTAAGCAGTAAACGTTTATTTATAAGCTTTCTTTCCACTATGAATAATATGATATTGAATGGGATAAAAAAATTCCCACATTCATAAATTCATATGGTTTTTTCCATCATGAGTTATGTGTTGCTGAGTAAAGGAAGGACTATGGCTTAAGGTTTTGTCATACTTATATTCACTTAGTTTCTCCCGAATATGGATTTTCCTATGTTGATTAAGGTGTGCACTCTGGCTAAAGGCTTTCCCACATTCATTACATTTATAGGGTTTCTCTCCTGTATGAGTTCTCTCGTGTTGATTAAGATGTGTTCTCTGGCTGAAGGCTTTGCCACAAAAACTACATTCATAAGGTTTCTCTCCAGTATGAAGTCTATAGTGTTCAGTAAGGGATGTGATACGGCTAAAGGCTTTACCACATTGGTTGCATTTATAGGGCTTCTCTCCAGTATGAATTCTCAGATGTTGAGTAAAAGATGAATGCTGACGAAAGGCTTTCCCACATTCATTGCATATAAAAGGTTTTTCTCCTGTGTGAATTCTCTGATGTTGAATAAGATGTATCCTCTGACTGAATCTCTTTCCACATTCATCACACTTATAGGGCTTCTCTCCTGTAAGGACTATCTGAGGTTGTGTAAGAGATGAGTTGTGGCTGAAGGCCTTCTCACATTCACTGGGTTTCTCTCTGGTATGAATATGATTAGTAAGAAGAATATGTTGATTGAAGATTTTTCCACATTCATTATATTCATAGGGCTTCTCTCTGATATAATTTCTCTGATAATAAATCAAGTCTGAATTATGTTTGATGCTATTTCCCTGTGTGTCAAAACTAAGAGGTATTTTAATGGAAGGAGTTCTTGGATGCATAAGGTTTGAGTTCAGATTATAGTTTTCTGTAAATTTACTGCATTCGAGGGTTCTCTCCTGAGTGATCTTCTTGTGAGTGAGAGATAGTTGTCCTAAATGTTTCTGCTGGTTTTCTTGGTTAAACTCTAATTGGTAATCAAAGTCCCAGAGTCCTCCTAAGATGGAGTACCAGAAACTGTCTCCTGTTAGTCTCTCCATTATCAAGTCATGGGTTTGATTTTCAGCAGAAATATTCTGGTTTAGAGTTGACTTTTTTATTTCAGGTTGGTTTTTCCCATCTAAAAGAAATTCAGAACATACAAATATTTTCCAATATTCTCTATGCTTTCGAAAAGAAATTGTTGCATAATGAATTGTTAAATAAAACTGACAGTGATGTGTACAAGGTATATGCAGCATTGAAAGTTTTCAAGTATGACCACGTAACAAGGGGAAAGATTAAAAAGACAAGAATCCATGAGCAGGGAGAATATTTTAAAACATTGTAATCATAAAAAAAGAAGAAATCATTCAGGAGTATCCATGGTTGGAGGTGGACAGAGAATAAGAAATATCAGAGAAAGATCTGTGTTCAGATGTGAGAGAAAGAAGAAATCATTCAGAAGTATCCATGGTTGAATATGGATAGAGAATAAGAAATATCAGAGTAAGGTTTGTGCTCAGATGTGGGAGATAGAGAAATGACCATCCTTAAGGAAGGCAGTTCTGAGTCTATGCCCTTACAAACCTCATCTGTAGATTATTCTATTATAATGCCAGTTACTTGTTTACTTAAAAAATATTTATTCTTATTTTTAATCTTTTGCTTAAAATAATAAAACTAATACTTGCTTAAGATAAAATATTCATATAGCACGGAAATGTATAAGGAAAGAATTGCACCTCTAAGAGCAGCGGTTCTCCACCTGTGGGTCGCAACCCCTTTTTAACAATGAAAATACATTGCAGCATTAGGAAGGTTGAGAACCATTGTCTTAAAGAATCTGTCAGTTGTCTAGATTCTATTGTGCCAGATTTTCCCTATGCCCACACATACATATATGAAAACCATATTTTGAACATGACTTATGCATAAAAAATATCCCTTTGGGCTCGGCGCCTATAGCTCAACCGGCTAAGGCGCCAGCCACGTACACCTAAGGTGGCGGGTTCGAATCCCCAGCCTGGACCCGCCAAAAAGAACAATGATGGCTGCAAGCAAAAATAAAATAGCCGGGCGTTGTGGCGGGCGCCTGTGGTCCCAGCTACTTGGGAGGCGGAGGCAGGAGACTCGCTTGAGCCCAGGA